TACAGATCATTAACAGCATACAAGACATTCACTCTAGTTTCTGGTTGAGTAAAAGTATGAACAAAATATATTTTACTTCATTGTTACTGATTACGGTACCATATTTGCTTTGTTAGAAACACATCTCTGATATAGAAGCACATCCAAGGCCAAAATATACTGTGTGTTTTTTGTTTTTGTATTTTGAAGACAAAATGTATTTAACAAGAGATTTACATATGCACATGTGCTTCTAATAGAGCAAAAACAGTATAATATATTTTACCTGTTTCTCAGAGCCGTCAATAATACCACTACCATCTGGTTTCATGTGAGCAGTCCACAGTTGAGTATCATTCCAAGGCTGTAATAGCAACCATATTTGTAACAGAAACTAACTTTAGATGTCACTCATATTGTTACACATGTAGCACCAACAGCATAAGATTTGTCATCAGTACTTGTCCCAAAATGTATCGGCATTGGATTAAATTATTCCTTGCATGACGTAAATTATATATCACCAACACTGATACCGGTACATTCAAAGTTATTGACATCACATTCTAACATGCAGCAGCACGACAGAAATAGAATCCTGCACGGATCGTAAATGATAGCACAACATGAATTGTTTTGGGTGCCATTTTGGGCCTTAATCTGCCATTCAATTATCACTACGAGCAAGAAAAAGATAACCTTATAATAGCATTGTTATCAGAATACTCTGTGTTTACTTTTTTTTATCATGCTAGGTCTTCCCTAACTTCTCACAAAAGGAGATGAAAAATTACATTCATATTTATATCAACTTACCAGCAGATCAACTTTATATCAACTTATGAACAGAATGGCATTATTCAATGCATAATATTAATTTCAAATTGTAAACATAATATGCATCATTTAAATTTGAATAATACAAGGACCTTACCATATTAGGATGATTCCATTGTATCCAACATATTTTACTTCCATCTGGAGACACCCTTGGATTAGAATAGAAGTCAAACCCCGATGCCTAGAGACAAAAATAGTAGGAAAATATAGTAATCATACCCAGATGCCTAAAGATAACAATATATGGCAAATATAGACATCATAATAAGAACCAGAATTCCCATTAAAATTTACATCACTAAAATTACTCATTACAATTTCCATAGAGAGTCAGTTTTTCAAAACTTGGAATGGAATGGATTAGAATTTTCATCAAATGTTACCGTAATTATAACTTTCAAATATAAACTGTTTTACCAATGCACCATATGTGAATTCTAAAAAAGAACAATAATAAAAATTTTACCAAGATGATTTGTTCTTTTGTCTCAGGGTTAATCATAACAATTGTATTAACTGCTTCTTTGGTTTGACCTGTTTCTATTCCACTGTGGTCTTCTCTTACACAGACAATACGGTTCAACTATAAAAAATAGTATTAAAATTGTCTTAATTTTGACAAATCTAGTTAAATATAATCAGAGTATGAAACAATAAAAAGGAAGAAAGAAAAAAAAGAAATCATGCTCAATTAATAATTATTATTATTTCTGACTCTATAAAACTTACATTTAAGGCAAGAAGTATTGAAAAGTGCTAACGAGAATTAAATGCATATACTAATTAAGCTAATTAATTATGCACAAATTATCAACAACACTTAATAAAGTCTTGCAATAGTTCCATAGTATATGACTGAGCACTGGTTCTTGTGATTTTTATCAATGAAACAATATTTTTATCCAAATCTGATTCATTCTGATTCCTATCACTGGTTTTTGAAATATCGCGTTCATTAAATAGTATAATCTAATTAACATATTTGATTAGTAGATTATATATCATACCTTGCCTGAAAACTGACCATCAGCATACCTCCAGCCACAGTCTGCAGGAGTCAAAGGTGTTGGTGTGTCTTTGGGAGATTTCTGAGCATACATTCTATTGTCAGTGAAGTTAGAGAAATATAGCACACCAGCGTATACAAAGAACGCCCCACCACCGTATTCATGAACTCGACTATAAACATTCATGTTCTCAGGTGTCCAGGTTGTGAAACCATCCTCACCAAGTCTTCTGGAACAGATTACAGCACTACCACGTTCAAACCGAGTTTCAGACCAGTATATAATATCTAAAACGAAATCAAAGAAAGCTTAGAAAAAAACGCCCATGTGCTGACAGTATATGAGGAATATGATTTAATATTTTAATTTAATTTATTTATTGACACAATACTGACTTTGGAAAGTATAGCAGTAAGGTCAAGATAAAAATAATTAAAAAAGTTATTAACAATGCAAGTGGACACATATTACAAAGTTACATTTTCAAATTACAAGATTCACTGACAAAAACGGAAATACATTACAATATATCTACAATTATACTATTATATATTATTTTATGGCAGTATTGATCTGTGTACTGCAAAGACTCATTATTGAAATAAATTGACTATGAACTGATAAGTTATTGAAATTATTTATGTGTTTGGTCATATCTTCAACTAGAGACTTTCTTTGTTGTTCATACTTTGTACATGACATTATTAGACGGAATTCATCTTCGATTTTTTCTGTATTACATAGGTCACACCACAGTCCCTCTATCCTAAAGGGACTGTAGTCATACATTCTTTTTTCAGCTGGTGTTTTTGGTTTTGTAATTTGACAAGATTCAGTCTTTAAATTGTGATTCCCTATTCTAAATTTGCTTAGCTGTTCACGCAGTTCAAAAATATGAATGTCTGTTATGTATTTTTAAAATTCTAATTTATTTTTAAATTTTCAGTATGTTTATTTTATTTTTTCCTGTGAAGTGCTTGTTGTCATTGTAAATTTATTCTTTCCAATGTGATATGAAGAATTCTTCGAGCTGATTTTTCATTTCCTTTACTTTTGAGATGGAAATTTTTGAATCAGTTAGAGTTTGATCTATTTTTGTTAGTTAAGTTTTCACGTCAACGAACCATTTGCTTTTTATTTGTTTATTCACTTGTGCCGCTTCTTTGAGTGGTAAGTTTTCTGTAGCTAATATACAGCTGTAATATTTAATTAGTTGCTTTTTTATGAATATGTGCAGCAGAAATCTACCTAATTCTCCATAAATACCCATTATTAATGTATTTTTGGATCTCTTCAATGGCAGACTTGTGCGAGCATTCATTCCCCTGACATCACTACCATAAGCTAGGATTGGTCGAATCAATTTATCAAAAGGGAAAGTAATGTTAGTAGTTATTTTTATATTTTGTCTTATTTTTTCTTTCAGTAAATATAAAGCCTTTTGCCCCTTTTTTCAGATTGGCTAGTGCTTATTTGAATTCTCCGTTGAAGTAAAAATAGGGAATATTTATATTTAATTTAAAATTTAAAATTAGCTTTTTAAACAAGAAGCCTGGCAATGAATATATATGTCTGCTATTTGAGATGCACATCGTAAAAACAATGTTATCCACAGGAATGAAGTTTTTAAAACACAGTATTGAGTATTTTCTAAAAAAAAATTTGATTGTATATTTGTGGTTTGCAGTCTGTGTAAACAAGCTCAATTTATAACTGCTTTTTCATGATATCAGAAATCACAAACATATTAGGCAAAAAAACATATCCAATCAACATAGATGTTTTTTAAAGTTAAATAAAAATGTGATAATTATTCTTATTATTATTATGCAAATGAAGTAATTAGTATGCACAAATGTCTACCCCAAATAATCTGATCTGTGCATTCTAGAGCATGTGTACCAAGATTCATTGAAATGTGAAGATTAGTTCTTCAGCTATCAGTTGAAAAAAATACTAATTGCTATGCATGCTATGCAAACTCATCAGATCTGTGCATTGTCCCTCTACTAAATTACTTTGGGACAAGAGCAAACATTTTGCAAAGTAGGTATTCAATATATTTTAAAATATAACTAGTAGCTTTGCGGTGAGTGGCTTTCACAGTAAGTGGGTTTCGTATCGAGTAGATTTCGCCGGGAATAGGGCTTTATGGCAGTAACTGGTCCTCTCATCGTTGTTGATAATTTATGTTTCTTTAACAACTGGTGCTATTCTGGGAATACCATCCTTAGGAGCTGTTGTCCTTAGGAGCTGCTGTTGTCCTTAGGAGCTGTTGTCTTTAGGAGCTGTTGCCCCTATAATTTGTGCAGTTGCTCTGGCAGGAGTTTCAAAATAAGACCCATGCTCTGATAATGCCCCTAGTTTCTAAGACAAATAAACATTGAACTATTTATGGGCTTTGCATCATGTATTCTTGTTATACTGCTTTTAATAGTGACATACTGTAATTAATGATCTTATTGGTGTTGGAGAAGGATAGTTGAATATTGTTTATTGAAATTAATAATCCCCACAGCAATTTTCCAATATAAATAAATTATAGTACGAAACAAATGAAATGAAGAAATGTATATATATTTAAATTATTACTATAAATGCATTGCAATACAACTAATTAAAATTGAGAGAAATTGCAATATAAAATATTCCATCAGTAACACTCGAGGGCGTATTTTATAAATTTAAACTGGCTTGGCAATTTCCACCACCAATTAGAGTGTGTACATATTTTAATACATACAGGTACACAAACAAAAATGAAATATTAATTATTTCATAATTTACTATATAACCTGTGCAAAAGAAATCAATATTTTTCCTTGCTAGAATGATGTATTTTCTCTATCTGTGTAACTTGCGGGAATCCTAATAAATGATATTTAAAGTTAACAACTGGCGATTTAGCAATATTAGGGATTGTCAACTTGTTGGCTGCAGGATTTTATTAGAAAGTATTGAATTATTTTGTAGTTACATATTATGTATACCATAGGGTCCATAGTATCTTTTCCTTACTGATTTGACTACATTGTGTACTTGACAGTTTCCAGTACTGTATTTTCCAGCATAAATATCGGATTATTTGTAAGCATAAGATAATGTGATGTGAATTTTATTCATTAATGGTATACTGTGTGATGACGCAATCTTCAGGGCCTAACTGTGATTCAGAATCCCATATTGACTATGTCCTGGACCGTTTACTAGCTCTTACTAACTTGTCAGTGTCTGACAACCCAGAACACATCAGAATAGTAAAAAAAAGCTAAAAGTCAGTTGCCCATGCCAGAAAAGCTGTGGAACCAAAACAATCTGTCAGCCGTCGCCATGCACAGCAGCGATATGATTTTACATTGCATATAAACAAACACTAAATATATCTATCCCAGCCAGCAATCGAAACATCAATCTTCATGTGTGATATAACTGGTATTTCCATCTATTTGCTTAGTGGTCTGAAAGTGAATGTTGTCAAGTTCGAAAGTGTGTTTTTACATACAGTGAACAATCAAAGACGTGTTGAACAGTAAGTTCATCTTGGGCTAGTGCCATTGTCAAATTTTAGAGAGTACAGGACATGTTTCAGTAAGGAATTGTTATGCATATCAAAATCCTTTATTGGAACAGAACATGTATACCGGGGTATTCACCCAAAAAAAACGGCAACAAACATCTCCATGTTTCTAGGCATACAACGAATTCAAAACAAAACAAGTCATTGTCAATGACACGTCCCCGTTCTGTTCATATTTGAGTGACATATACATTCAAAGCAGATCATGACCGAAATGCACCTGCATATGTACAACACATTGTACTAAATCTGAACAAAATCCATCCATGCATGACTGAGATCTGGTTCCGGAATTGTGAAAATACGTGATTTTAATGCATTTTCGGTCTTAAAATGGCCATCATTCAGCTATTGTTAAGCGGATCATGAAACAAATTCACATATCTATTTGTGACATGATGTACCATGTGTGTGTGAAGTTTGAACTTGATCAATCCAGACATGTCTTGGATATGGATCCAGAACTGAATTCTTTAAGAAAATGGCCGCCAGTCGGCCATTTCGAACTTGATCCGAGAAAAAAAAATGTCGTGCATCAAGGTCCTATTATGTTTAATGTAAGTACCAAATTTGAATGAAATCCGTCCATGCATAACTGAGATCCGGGTTCGGAATGGTGAAAATGTGCGATTTCAATGCATTTTCGGCCTTAAAGCGGCCGCCATTTGGCTATCGTTAATGGGATCATGAAACAAATGCACATACATATTTGTGACATGATGTACCTTGAGTGTGTGCAGTTTGAACTTGATCAATCCAGACATGTCTCGGATACGGATCCAGAACTGAATTCTTTAAAACAAAATGGCCGACTGGCGGCCATTTTGAACTTGATCCGAAAAAAACAATGACGTGCATCAAGGTCCTATTATGTTTAATGTATGTACCAAATTTGAACGAAATCCGTCCATGCATAACTGAGATCCGGGTCCGGAATGGTGAAAATGTGCGATTTTGATGCATTTTTGGCCTTAAAATGGCCGCTATTCGGCTATCGATAATCGGATCATGAAAAAAATGCATGTGCATATGTCCCATATAATGTGTAATGTATGAGTGAAGTTTGAACTTAATCGGCCCATGCATGTTCGAGATACAGGTGATCACGGACGCACGCAGCGCAGGCACGCACGGACGCACGCACACACACAGGGCAAAACATAAGTCCCCGTTTTCGGACTATGTCCGAATGGGGACTAACAAAGAGTCTGATCAAAACGATTTGCGTTCATGAAAATCAAGTCTTCTTGCCTTTGCCTTTCCAAGCAAAAAAGGTCGAGGTCAAAAATAGGATAGGTTATTTATTAGAGGAACCAGGGGAAAGAAAATTACAATAAAGACGAAAAAATGAGGAAGTAGCAAAATAGAAGTGCTAAAATAGAAAAAAGCTTATTTAGGGGCAGCTGGTAATTTGAAATGATTTTCTCTGGCACTGAAACAATTATAGATGTAGCTTGCTAGTTTTGTTATTTTTTGGCTATTATTGCTTGTTAGCATTGTAATCAATTTATTGGTATTTGTGTTGTTGCAATGTATTATATTTATTTCGTTCAACATTTCAGTTCTCTCATTTTCATACAGCCTGCATTCAAGTAAGAAATGCATTTCGTCTTCAATTTCATTTTAGTCGCAAGTAGTGCACTTTCCACCACTGCAAGGAATTTTTTTGTATAGTCCTTTCTCTATTTCTAAATTATGGCACTACCGGTAATTCTGCATTTTGTTAATGCTGCTCCATATTTTGCATTTGTTACTGTTATTAGATAATTTTCATACTGGCAATTCTTCTTTAGCAGTCTATATGTGCGCAGCTTATGCTTTTAGCTTTTGTTTATATTATCATTATGCATTTGTTCTTGACTCTTGTTTTCGAATAATTTTTTGAGCTTAATGCAAATTGTGTTGATTAGATTGGTGTTACAATTTGGATAATTTTTTTTTCCCCCATGACTTATCCATTTCTAGATCGTGCAAAATATTTTTAATACCAGATACCAAATACCCAATTAAGTATGCTTTTACCATTCATCTCTATGCCATAAAATACTGTTTTGAGTCATAGCGTAAAATAGGGGACTAAACCATTTGAGGGGAAATTGAGAATGGAAATTACTCACTTTTGAGGGTGTCATAATAAGCAAGGGTGAAAACAATCTGATTAAAATAAGATCCTGGTTGGCTTATTTTTTTTTTATTATATAATTACTATAATTATTATCTATTTTAATTATTTACTATAATTATTATTTATTTTAATTATTTTTGACGTTACAATTATTTTGCACCAGGTGGCTTTCACGAACAAAACCATTCTTGCAGCAAAATAATTGTAACGTCAAAAAATAATTAAAATAATCTTATTTTAATCAGATTGGGGTGAAAACAGTTTTTATGCTATGAAAAAGTAAAGACATTGAACGTACTTTATGTTCTTTAGTACAAAATAATTTTTTGTTTGATGTCTAGAAGTTCATGTGCTGCAAGTTAGAGTGTATATACCTAAGCGACCGTGACTCAGCAAATAATTTAGCCTAGGAATTTCCGTCTCAAAATTGTGAAACTATCCATTTTTACGCAATCTGGGAAGTCTGAATTACTAAACAAAGTACAGGACGACGAAGCTGAAATATCCAAGAACCAACACATACCGTATCCTCTTTCCTTCTCAAGCATTGTACAGATAAAAAAATATTTCTGACAAACCATGTAACACTTTGATCTATGAGGCCTTCAGACTAGGTAAAAATATGAACTCAAAGGCGATAAAATTTTTTGTCCCACACTAAAAACATATTTAATAATACAAGTATGGACCATATGTTGGATACTGTGACAGCAGATAAAAAACAGACAATTTTACATCCCTTGAAAGCAATCTAAAATCAATGTTAAAAAATCATTTTAAAGAGACATTATATAACGATAACAAAGGTAAAATTGCAAAAATAAGTTAAGAACTTATAGAATGATAAAACATAATTTTGATTTTGAAAAATACCTGGAAAAATAACTAAGCTAAGGATCAGTGCGCACACATTGCAGATTGAGGCAGGAAGATAAATCAACCAAACAGTAAGGGACGACGTCAAAAGATCGATGTCGGATAAAAAACTTAATTCCTTTAGTTTTTTTCCAACCCCCCCTACCCCCAACTGAAACTTAATTGATAAATATTGGTCATGGCGTCAGACTACATTCACCATTAAATACAAATTGATAATCGGACAGTAGTATTGCATACCACTTGGTTGTCGGGTGGGTGTAAAAAGATTTTACAAATGCACCTCATTTGATGCACAGATTTACACTCGAACCAACCCATTTTTCTGTTTTTTTCCTTTTTCGGTTATTTCTGTCCATGATTGGATAGAAGAAAAAAATGAACTACAAATACTCCAAGATTTTTTTGACTTCATTAAATAATAAAATCGTTTTTGTAGGATGAAAACTTTTTGAGGTCAAAACCCCCCACCCGAAACTAAAGGAAATAAGTTTTTTATCCGACATCGATCTTTTGACGTCGTTCCTAATAGAGAGAAAATGCCACTACTGTCAGGAAAAACAAATAAAAGATGAAA